TTTAAAGGGGATGAAATTATAGAATATGAACATTATATTGAATGTTTTGAATTACAGTGATAGTTTCTTTAGGGCACTACTACAACACTTCTCTCTCTCTATATATACATATATATGCAGCACTTACTAGTTCAATTCAACCACAAAATTACTGAGTGAAGCAATTCAATTCAATTAAATATATACAGTACTGCTATTTTTTTTAACTCAACCACAAAATTAAACAATAGGCAGGGAAATATAGACTGGAAACTTAGCTTGGCTTCGAAAAAAAGAAAAAGAAAAAATAGATTTCAACCGAAGGGTTCAACTGACAGAGGAATTATTCAATTGTATTTGAACTATGCAATTGTATTTGAACTGAAATCAGCTGGAGGAAAATGTTAAAGAATTACCGGTCAAAAATAGAGGAGGAGGCGACGGCGATGGAGTTTTGGTGCACGACTACGGCTGCACGGCGACGGCGACGAATGCACGGAGACGGGGACGGCTACACGGCGACGGTGAAGAATGCACGGAGACGGCGACGGCTGCACGGCGATGACGACGGCTGCACGGCGACGGCTGCATGGCGACGGAGACGGCGGTGTTCTGTTGTTTTCTGCGATGGCGTTCAGCGATGAGGAGTTCAGCGTCGAGGAGTTTGCGATGGAGTTGTTCAGCGTCGTTTAGAGTTTGCGATGGAGTGGTGTGAGGGATTCTTGCACTTAGGTTTACAAAGTTTTATTTTATTTTAATTCTAATTTCATAGTCAAAACGCCAGCGTTTAAGAATAAAAAAAAATAAAATTTAATAAAATTATTGCGACGGAATCTAGGTGGTCGCAATTTCCGTCGCCATATTGAGTCCATAATTTAAAACTTAATTCATTTAAGGACGGAATCAAATCGGTCGCAAATTCCGTCGCCTTTTTCACGACGGAACACAAATTGGTTGCTTTTTCCGTCGCAAAATGGACGACGTAAATTACTTCCGTCGCAAATTCGGTCGTGAATATTTTCCGCCAATATTTCGCGGACTTTATTTTATCTTTGCGCCAAGATTCACGACGGAATTTAATTCCGCCGCCTTTTCCGTTGCCATTTCGCAACGGAATGTATTCGGTCGCTAAATGGCGACGGAATATAGTCCGTCGCGATTCGCGATTTTTCTTGTAGTGATAATGGACTGAAAATAAAAAATGATCCATAATTGACTAAAATGAAAAAAGAAATGGTCAGATCATTGCATTTTAATTTTTCACAATAATATTTTATAGTATAATACATCAAATCACAATTATGTTATCAGGTGGCATGTAGTGACGTCTCCCATGTGGGAGGTCATGAGATCGAGCCTCAGTGGAGGCGTTGTTGACTCTTTGTGATTCATTAGATTGAGAAAATATATTTGAACAGATACTAAAATGTAATGCATCGGTGGAGGCGTTGTTGACTCTTTGTGATTCATTAGATTGAGAAAGTATATTTGAACAGATACTACAATGTAATAGAGTCAGTACACTACAAGAAAAATAGTTATTAGTGAGGGTAGAAAAACTCCTCAATAAATGTATTATTTTCATAGTTTTTGTGAGAGTTAAAAATTTCTCTAGCTAAAGGTTTATGATTTAGTGACAGAATTTTAATTTAATACTTATTTTCAAAATATACTCTCATTATTGATACGGAAGATGTTGTTACTCTCGCTATTAGTATCTGAAAATTATTTCACTAAAATATAATTCCCACCAAAATCTAAAATCTAAAATCTGTTAGGATTTCAATAATAATATTCTACATCATCAATTACAAATGGAACAAATATTTGGTAAAAATATCATTACATCTAATATTCTAATTGGCTAACTGATTAATTGAATGAAAATAAAAAAGAATAATTGGCTGAAGTGAATATGACACTACAAATAGACAAAAAAAAAAATGAATACTAATAGTTGACTGCAAATAAAAAATAATCCATAATTAATTAATATGAAAAAAATAAATGGTTAGAACATTGCATTTTAATTAAAAATGGAATGGAAACTAAAATTTGATGGGAATATTTCTATAATAATTCTATATCATAAATAGTAAATGCATATTTTAAACAATATATTAAAGATAAATTAAAAATGGAACAGAAATATTTCAATAATAATATTATACATCATATATTAAAAATGGAAGGAAATTTTGGTAAAACATATCACCGCATAATGATATTCTAATTGACTAATTGACTAAAAATATAAAAGAATAATTTGATGAAAATGAATTTGATATTACTAATTGACTTAAAATATAAAAAGATTGTTAATTGACTAATACTCTACCATTATATATTTTCACCCGAGTCACCTATCTTGATGTACAGAAGGTGTTAGCTCTATACGATGATGGACAGGATTGCGTTGCTACTACCAATGTCGTCTACAAAGAGGTTTCAATAATGTGTAAATACAATCATTGATATTATGTTTTTTTAAATGACAAAATTGCTAAGATATAAATGCCCTTGTTCAAAATATATTATTATTATTCGTTTTATTATATATATATATATATATATATATATATATATATATATATATATATATATATATATATATATATATATATATAGCAACTAAAGTTCTAGACCATATGAAGGCTGAGAGGATCCTCCATTAACAACCCCCATAGACGACGGAATTCCGCCTGCCAGAACTAGGGTTCCGAGCCCATCCAATGTGTTCGATTCTTGACTAATTTAAATTCCGAAAATTATTCTGTGGACCCTGGTCCATCTTGCAAGGTGAACCCAAGTCCAAAAGCACACAATTTATATACTGAATGTTCACAATTTAAATTGTAAATATTCAGTACATAAATTGTGTATTTTTTTTATTCGGATCCATCTTGCAAAGTAAACCCGAGTCTATGGCAAAAATGTACGTCCTTTAAATTCACTTACCTCATTCGAACAAGTAATTGTTGAATATTTTATCACAACTATCACATTATACATGTATCACAATACACAAGATAAACATAAGAGTAATATAATACTAATCAAGCAGTTGTTTGCTAAGTCGTATCTTTAGCGGAAGTTTTGGCAAGAAACACAAAAAAGGGGTTGTCTCAACCCCCTCCTAAGACCAAAGTTAGATATTCGTAGTGTGCTTGTACTAATCACATTCATATTTAAAATTTAAAATAATATTGAAATTAATGGATAACCTTACTAATATATAAAAAGGAAACATATATTCTCAATTTTTCACCAAGTTAAGCATCTCTATCCCATCAGCAAGTTTTGCTGTGAATTATATTGAAGCTGACATTTTTTGCCCAATCTTAACAAAGAAACCGAACTCCATTTCCTAATTAAGATAATCCCGATTCAGACTAGCTTTTACAACAAGGAAACACATTCTACATCCGTAGGGAAAAGAATTGGAAATCAAATTGGGGCCGTTTACTAACTCAAAATTTCTGAAAATTTCCGGAAATTGGAAAATATAAAACAGAAAATATGTTTACGAACACAGTTTTCCATTTTGAAAACTGAAAATAATTTCTGAAAATTTCTGAAAAACTGGAACACACTTAAAAACTGTTTTCGAAATGAAAAACAGAATCATCGATATATCATCTATTTAGTTATATGTCACTATAACCACATTACTATGATTACATTCATATCATCTTATTTTATTTATCATTATCTTCTATATTTTCTACTTACTTAGCTTATTTAAACATAATTTATTTTCTTACACTTTAAAGTTACACATTATTTACATTATAAAAATTAAGAATTAAACTCTATATAATATTTTAGAGTTTGATTGAACTCAATAGATTATTAGTTCGAATATTTTTAATTATGTTAACATCATAATATGTTCGGTCTAGATATCGGATATTGAAATCTCACATATATTAGAATTCAAAGTAAAAGTTATATATTCATATACATGTCATTCAAATGAATATATCTAAAAAAACATATTTTAAATATTAGCTAAAAAAATATTAATATTATCTAAATTAAATTTTAAGTGAAAACTGAAAAATTAGAAAACAGAGAACAGAGAACAGTTTTCTGTTACTAAACAAGTTTTCTAAACAGAAAACAGAGAATGGAAAATAGAGAATGAAAACTGAAAAATTAGTAAACAAGTTTTCTAAACATAAAACACAGAATGGGAAATAGAGAATGAAAACTGAAAAATTAGAAAATAGAAAAAAAAAGAGAAAATTTTTACGTTAGTAAACGGACCCTTCAAATTTTCTCCAAACTTACTTTTCAAGTTACAAACAAAAATAATTTAAATTCACTTACCCCATCATATTTTGTCACAATCTCATACATGTATAAGTGATACTTAATCATGTTAAAATGAGTATTAAATCCTTAAATTCATATCGGCCCTGTTTGGTAAAAAATTGGCCTATAGGCCAATTTTGGCTTATTTGACCACTACTAATTGTTTGATTTTGTTAAAATTTCAATATACATATTTGGTTAATTAGCGTTTTGCAACTCCAAAAGGCTAAAATTTAAAAAGCTATTCGTAACAACATTTTCAATTATCTTTTTCATAAAAGAAATTATACAGCTAATTTACAAAACATTTTTTTTACAATAAGCTAATATTATAACTTTTAGGAATAAGGGTCAAATAGGCCACTGAAGTGCACTCAAAATTACAATTGGGCCACTGAACTCAAAAAGCCTGCAATTAAGTCCCTGAATCAACCAACAACATGCAATTTTGCCAATTTCCCAGTTTTACAAGTTTGTTACCGGTAATTTGCCAACTTGGATTCCATGTGGAATTTTTTTTTATTTAATATATATATATATATATATATATATATATATTAAAAACTAAACCTAATAAAATAGTTTATAAAACACTAGAATACTTACCAAAAGAGAGACAGTACGTTTGCGATCTTTCTCCATCCCCATCCAACTTCATCGCAACTCTGAACCCTAGGGAAGGACCGAGGTTCAACGCAAAAATTTCATATCGTCAAACCATCGTACTATACGGCACTAGGGAAGGACGTGGGTGATTCTTCAACAATGTCTTCATCAAATTCCAGATTTTCTCCATCTTCACCCAACTTCACGAGGCGTAATGTCAACTTGCATTATGAGCCTGCTTTGTATTGCAAATGTGGGTTGAAATCTCCATTATGCATAGCTCGTGATAGTGGCCGAAAATTCTTTGGTTGTCAACAATGGAAGGTTAGATTACAATTATTGATATAAAAATCATTTTGGTATGGGGTTAATTAATATATATGAGGTATTTTTAGAAATTAAATCGGTGTTATATGTGATTAATGTAACAGGAACATGGTTGTGGATTTTTGGTATTTATTGATGATATTATGATGAATGCTCAAGTTCAAGAAATCCCGGTCATTGACTATGAGTCAACTGTAAATGCATTAAGAGATTTGAGTTGTATTATTCAACAACTAAGAGATGATATGTCATCTGTCCAAAGAGAATGGGAGAGAGTCAAGATGTCAACATGTGGTGGTGCTACTGAAGGTGTTAAGGAAAATTGGTCCAAGATATTTACTACTATAGTTGTGATAGGTGTGGTTTTATTAGCAATGTTGCTATGCTTTGGGCAAAAAAAGAGTAATAATCTAAATTTGTCTATTTTGTAAGATCTTTGGTTTATGTTAGTGTGGAAAAATTAGTATAGGTTGATGGTAAATGTTGTTGGAAGTAGTGTTGTATGAAAAAAATTCAATGTGGTAATGGGAACAAGTTATTTTGTGTTAAAGTGAAAAAATATTTTCTTTTATATGCTCAATCAAATTTCGTTGTTTTATGTTTCAGATCATATATTGATGAAGTATTTAATTTGTCTTGATAATTTCCAGGATTATATAGAGGCCAAAACCATCATTCTTAGTACAAGTCATTCACTAATCTCTAAAATTCACAACATGGTATTGACCAATATTCTTAGTACTCATTCACTAATCTCCAAAGTTGTCATAACAACACTGGCAATATTCAACATTGACAAAATAAGCAAAAAACAGTGACAAAATGAGGCTTTCACAGTACAAGTCAGCCACAAATTACTAAAGTTTAGAATCATTCACAATGTCATTAAGTGTTCAACAAAAAAAGGAGAACATCCAAAAAACTCCAACAGATCTTCAACTTGGATTATTTCTTCATTGCCTTCCCCCATTTGCACCACTTGACTTCTTTCTTCCTTGATAAATTACACGGTGTCCTGATTATCCGGGCTACATAATGCAAACCATAATCCAAATTCCAATCAGTATTATATTATAATGCTCATAGTATAATATAAAGTATGGCTTATATTAACTTGAAGATAACTTACATTAATTAGTACTGCTCCAGTATGTGGGTTTGTCTAAATACCAAATCCACCACCTCTTCGTTTTTTGTTGATTAGAAGGTCTAGAAGCTGATATTGTAGCTGCATTAGCCGATGGTGGACCCCTTGTAGTTGGACAATATTTCTTTGAATGGCCCTGCTCTTTACATAATGAACATGTGATAATCCTACCTTGCCGTGACAGCTTTCCAACTGGGGGTTCGTTAGGCTCACGAATCCTCTTCTTCTTTGGCCTACCAGTCATGGTTTTAGGTACAGGGGACAAGATTTCTTCACATGTTGTTCTAGGCCAACTAAGTTCTCCATTCAAAGGTTGAATAGTGTGGCTATAGATCCTTTTGTACACTTCTTTGGAGTAGCACTCATCAATAAAGTCTTCAGGGTTCCTACCTTTATCAAAATTGGCACAACAAGCATGAGGACATGGTATACCAGTTAGATCCCAGCATCTACATGAACACCTTCTTGCTTCCAATTTGACCTTGAATTGTTGCTTTCCTTTCTTTATCTCGTAGTCGTCATCTCCATTGAAGTCAACATGCCGCCCCTTGCTATCCATTATATTTGCATTCAATTTTTGCATCACTCTAGGTCCATAGTTCCCTGGCCATTTCTCTACATTTTGTCTTTTGGTTGCAACCCTTGTCATCATGGCCACTCTAATATCTTCTAACATTGGGATTATTGGCTTAGACCTTGCTTTGACAATGGTTCCATTGAAAGCTTCACACATATTATTGTCAATTGAATCACATTTTGAATCTTGCCTCATGAATGCTTTGCACCAATATTTTGCAGGGTAATTTGCCAAATCCAATTTTGCTTGGGCATCTTTCTTCCCCAACTGTTCAAGCATGAACTTGTATTGGTCCGCATTTGTTGAATTAGCACACATCCAAAATAGCTTCTTTAAAACTTTGCCTCTATGTTTCTTGCTCCAATTAGCATGGATGTGTCTGGCACAGTTTCTATGTTCGGCATTAGGTAGCAATTGGTTAATGACATTAACCAAACCCTACAAAAAAAATAAGCAGTTTGATAAAGAAGCAAATAAGCAGACTGATTACATGCATATTACAGACTACAAAAAAAAAATAAAAAAAAAATTAAACAAATAAGAAACAGAAAGAAAAAAAGATTAAAAAAAAAAAGATAACAGTAAGAAAAAAAAAAAAAAGAAGAAAAGAATACAAAAAACAAATTACAAACAGAAAGAAAAAAAGATTTTTTTTTTAAAAAAAAAAGAGAAAACAGTAAGAAAAAGAAAGAAAGAAAAGAATAAAAAAAAAATTACAAACAGATTAGAAACAGAAATAAAAAAAAGATTTATAAAAAAAAAACAGATTACATACTGATTACCAAAAAAAAAAAAAAAACTACAAACAGATTACAGACCACAGACTATAAACAAATTACAGACTCCATATTACACACCACATACTACAAACAGACTAGAAAAACAGATTACAAATTACAAACTAGAATAATAACACAACAGACTGATATACAAAACAGCAAATTATAAATAGAAAAGCATATTATAAGCCGATTATGTACTTGCCTTTTGTTGGTCTGAAATTATTGTCCATGCGTTACTGTTGGTGATTCCCAAGTCTTGAATCAACGGCTTTAAAAACCACATCCAAGAGTCAATGTTCTCTATCTCAACAATTGCCCATGCAATTGGATACATTTGGTTATCAGCATCTCTCCCTATAGCAGTTAGAATCTCACCCTTAAGTGTTCCTTTAAGAAAACAACCATCTAGACCAATAATCTACCTACATCCTGTTAGAAAACCCCTTTTCATTGCATCAAAACATACATACATCCTCTGAAATGTACATGGGGCATTCTCAACTACCCTATTAGTTTCAATAAACACTCTGCTCCCAGGATTTGAATTTAAACATTCATCTGCGTAGTCCCTTATTCTTTTGAACTGGTCTGAAAAACCATGATTCATTTTCTTCAAGACACCTCTATGAGCTCTTCTTACCATAGCCACATTAACATTTATCTTTAGCTCTGCCTCTATGTCATCCTTCAACTTAGTATGTTTTATGGTTGGATCTCTTACAATCTTGTCTTCATATTTTATCCATTTCTGAGTTACAACCCTTAAACTATACCTTAAATTGCACCTATGTTCTAGATGCAATGTTTTCAATTGGAAACATTTATATCTCTCTTCCCAACTACAGTGCAACAGAAAAGGACAACCACTCACACATTTGACTCTAACTCTCATTTTCTCATTCTTATAGAAGTGGATATCCCTCTTGTGATGCACTGCATATTTCACCATTTCACTCTTAAATTGTGTTGCATCTTCAAATAACAATCCTCTCTCTAAATCTGGACATTCACACTCTGGGTTATATGAGGGGAATCTGGATTTCTTATAACAATCTTCTTCAGACTCACAAGTTGGTGGATCGGCAGAGTCATAGTAATAACCATCACTACCATAATCAACAGTTGTTGGATCAACAACATTTAACTTGTCTTTGGCCTTTGCCTTACCTTTTCCCTTTCTAATTTCCTGCATATTACCCTCCCTATTGAGGTGATCTTCTGCTGCATCAAAACCAAAACCCACATCAAACTCTTGTGTAATCCCTTCATTAAGGTCTTCACTATCTTCGATTTCCATCTCATTTTCAGCTTCATAATTACTTTCAAAATCAGCATCCTTTAGAACAGTGTGAAAGTGTGAAGGGTTTCATCTATTTTCCACACATAGAACTGTACAGATTATAATAATTTATACTGGAAACTAGCTATAACCTAATGGACCCACTGTAACGGGCCTAGGGTTTCAACACTCCCCCTCAAGCTGGAGAGTATAGATCATATGCTCCAAGCTTGTTACAAATATATTCAACTCTAGGAGCTCTAAGGGATTTCGTCAAGATATCAGCTAACTGATCTGCAGAATTGACAAAGCTAGTTTTAATACACCCTGACACAATCTTCTCTCTAATGAAGTGGCAGTCAACCTCAATGTGTTTAGTTCTTTCATGATAAACAGGATTTGACGCGATGTGTAGAGCTGCTTGATTGTCACATATCAACGTCATTTGGGCAACATTGCCACATTGCAATTCTTGTAGTAGGTGTTTAAGCCACATAAGCTCACACGTGGCAAGCGCCATGGCTCGATATTCTGCTTCAGCACTGGACCTAGCGACCACATCCTGCTTCTTACTTTTCCAAGATATGAGATTACCTCCAATGAGAATACAATAAGATGAAGTAGAGCGTCTGTCAAATGGGCAACCAGCCCAATCTGCATCACAATACCCAACAACTTGTGAATGTCCTCTATCTTCATATAATAAGCCTTGTCCTGGTGCTCTCTTGATATACCTTAGAACACGAACAGCAGCATCCCAATGAGAATCACAAGGCGTCTCAAGAAACTGACTCAACACACTAACTGCGAAGGAGATAACCGGTCGTGTGATCGTGAGATAATTCAGTTTTCCAATTAATCTCCTATATCGCTCTCGGTCAGGCAATGGCTCCCCCTGTCCTGGTAGGAGTTTAACATTCGGATCCATTGGATTATCAACCGGTGTACTGTCCAACATGCCAGTTTCTTCTAAAATATCCAAGGCATACTTCCTTTGAGAAATAACAACACCGCTGCTAGATTGAGCCACTTCAATTCCAAGAAAGTATTTCAGCTTACCCAAATCCTTAGTCTGGAACCGACTAAATAGATACTCCTTCAACTGAAATATGCCTTCTTGATCACTCCCTGTAATAACAATGGCATCCACATATACAACAAGGTATATGCATTTCTCATTAGAATGACGATAGAAAACAGAATGATCAACCGCACTTCTAGTCATACAAAACTCACACACCACAGAACTAAACCTTCCAAACCAAGCACGTGGAGATTGCTTTAAACCGTATAAAGAACGACGAAGTTTACATACCAGACCAGACTCCCCCTGAGCAACAAACCCAGGTGGTTGCTCCATATAAACCTCCTTGTGAAGATCACCATGAAGAAAGGCATTCTTGATATCCAGCTGGTGCAACTCCCAATGATGAATGGCTGCCAAAGACAAAAGTAACCGAACAGAAGCAATTTTAGCAACCGGGGAAAAAGTATCAGTATAATCCAAACCAAAAATCTGAGTATAGCCTTTCGCCACCAGTCGAGCCTTAAGACGATCAATCGCGCCATCATGGCCCACCTTCACCGTATAAATCCATCTAAAACCAACCACAGTTTTACCAGCAGGAAGAGGAACCAACTCCCATGTGCCACTAGACTGGAGGGCCTCCATCTCTGTTAACATGGCTTGACGCCAACCAGAATCCGAGAGAGCCTCAACAGTGGATTTGGGTATGGA